TAATACTCAATCATATATCACATTTAAACTGTTCTCTCCTTTATCTGTTTCAATGTAGTTTATATAATTTATCCAATTTTTCTCAGTCACCCCAACCCTGATGTCTGTCCCATTCTACAACAGTGACACTATGCAGTATTCTCCTTTTTTGACTGAGATATTTCACTCAGAATAGTTTCCACCAGGGTCACCCATTCCTTCCATGCGTTCCTTGTTTTTTCAATGAAACGTAGTATTCCACTGTGTGAATATACCACAGCTTCTCTATCCATTCGTTTGTTGATGGGCACTTAAGTTGTTTTTAATTCTTTGCTATTGTGAACAAAGCAGCAATAAACATGGCTGTGCATATATCTGCCTGGGTGACAGTTATGGTTTCTTTAGGATATATTCCCAGTAGAGGAATTGCTGGGTCACATGGTGTTTTTATTTGCAACTTTTTGAGAAAGTGCCATACAGCCTTCCAGAGTGGTTGCACCATTTTGCACCCCCTCCAACAGTGAATAAGATTTCCAGTTTCTCTGCAACCTTGCCAGCGTTTGTTGTTTGCTGTTCTGTTAAATTTTGCTATTCTAACTGGGGTGAGATGATATCTCATAGTTGTTTTGATTGGCATCTCTCATAGAGCTAGGGATTTTGAACATTTCTTCATGTCCTTGTTGGCCATTTAAATGTCTTCTTTGGTGAAGTGTCTGTTCATATCCTGTGCCCATTGTGCAATTTGGATGATATCTTTTCTAGTTTAGTGAATTTTAAATGTGGGATAATGAGAGAGTCCACAGTGAAGAATTTTGTTAGGTGTCATCAAATTGATTCTGACTCATAACTACTTTATGAACAAGAGATGGAAGCTTTGACCAACCCTGTGCTAGCCTGATAATTGGACATGTTTAATATATCATTGTTGTGGTTCCTTTGTCAATCATTTTACTGAAAGTTTTCCTCTCCTTCAATGATCCTCCACCTCTTCAAGGATAACCTCCCTTTCCATGGATGGGCCCCTCCTAAAACACATTCATATTACATGCGATGATGTCTCATAATTTTTGTTTCTAAAGAGCAGTCTGGCTACAAATCTCTCAACATGTATTTATTTGTACTTCATCAACATTTGAAAGGCATTAGATTTTATTTAGTCCTCCTTATTCATTTTCCAATTTTCATGCACAATTTTTTACCTGCTCTGACATGCAATAAAGAGTAGGTGTATTTAAACACAAAATATTTTAGAAATAAGAGGTTGATTATAATGTCATAATACAATATAGTGCACTGCCTTTTTAATATGTACACAATATTTCTTGTAATTTAGATTATGAAGAAAATATGTATTAAAACACACAAAATAAAAAATGAACAAACACTGTAAAAGCCTGCCCCATAGAAAACCACATTTGATAAATAACTGTTTACCTTATTGTAACTAATCTCTCAGCTTTTAGTGAAGAAAATATAATAGTTATGATAACATTTCCTCAAAATCATATCCTGTGTTATTATCCTGAGACACAAATAACTGGGTGAAATAATTTTTATTTTGTAACAGCAAACCAAGTTCATGATTTAATTTCTTTTTATTATCATTTATGCTGTAGAATTATGTTTTAGAAAAAAATGTATGCTGTATTCATTCTTGACAATGACAAAAATCTCTTCTAGGAAAAGCTGCTTTCTTGAGTGCTGCACTTTTAAAAGATAACTGAAAAAGCAGAACATTTTTAATGATTTCATAATAAATTCTTAACGGAATAGTTAAGGAATATTTTAGAATAAAACTATAATATCTTTTTGGGTAAAATAAGTAAGTAAATAAATAGTAATGTAACAGAGTAGGAAGTATATTAATATTGTTTTCAGATCCTAAAAATATTTTTTCTTTGTTAAAATGTATTATTAAATGTTCATTTCATTCAAGCTCATTGGACTACCAGCAATGCCAGCATACTGGAATCTTGGATTCCAACTGAGTCGTTGGAATTATGGATCGCTAGATGTAGTCAGAGAAGTAGTCCGAAGAAACCGAGAAGCTCGTATTCCATTTGTAAGTGAAATACGTTGGCTATATACTGGTGGCCTCGTGGCAACAGACTGCGCTGCAATCCAGAACGCATGTGGTTCGAGGCCTCCAGCTGCTCTGTGGGAGAAAAATGGGAAATCTCGTTCCATGTGATTCACTACCTCTTAAAACCTTGCTGGAGAATCAGCTGTGGGTCGGTTCCTATTCAACTATAAACAACAACAACATGGGGCTATATGTTTGATCAAATTTTGTCACATGACAATAAAAAGAACTTGTTAAAAAATGGATAAAATATTTTAATATTTTCAGAAATACTTAGGCTTTAGTTTTCTACAAAGTATATGTATGTGTCTGTGTGTGTATATATGTATATATACACACACACACGCACTTTTTTGTTAGATATATGTGCATATGTGAGGTATTTATCTATATATCTATATCTCACCCCTAGTGAGTAAAGGGTTTTGCTGCCAACCCAAAGGCACACAGTTCAAATTCACTAGCTGTTCTGTGGGATTAAAAAGGGTAATCTCTTCATGTGCAAATTACAGCCTCTGAAAACTCACTGGTCAGATAGCTATCAATCCATTCTGGCCACGTGACAAACTACATTGAAACAGATGAGGGAAAGAACTATCTTTAATTAATGTATGATGGGGCATCAAATGTATGTCAACAATTTGCAACAAGAGATGCATTGCAAAGTGGACTCTGGGAAGGGGAAGGGGAGGGTTAAATACGTGTTAAGCAATAATGAATAAATGAAAAGCAACTTTTCTGTAAACTTTCATTAAATTTGCAATTTTA